GTGTAGTCAAAAATGGCCTTTTGTACAGGTGTACAGATAGGTATGCCTGTATGTATGAGGCCTAATACAGTTTTAAATATTTAGCTTTGAAACGAGCCCTCACCGACATTTCTAGTTGCAGTCACTATGGTGCAATTCATCCTTCAAGTTCAAAACAAAGCTCCTCTGGTCAAGATGGACTTGGCAATGAATCAACAGACTTCCAATGTAAAGAGCAGGTGCATCTTTTTTTATTAACCACTTGCCTACTGGACATTTTTACTCCCTTCCTGCCCAGGCCAGCTTTCAGTGTTGTTGCACTTTGAATGACAATTGCGCAGTCATGCAACACTGTACCAAAACAAAAATTTTTATAATTTTTTTGAGACAGATAGAGCTTTCTTTTGGTGGTATTTAATCACTACTGAGATTTTTTATTGTTTTGCTAAACAAACTAAAAAAGACAGAAAATTAAAAAAAAAAATGTTTTCTTAGTTTCTGTTATAAAATTTTGTAAATAAGTAATTTTTCTCCTTCATTGATGTGTGCTAATGAGACTGCACTGATGGGCACTGAAAGATGGCACTGATGGGTACTAACAGGCATCACTGATGGGCACTGATAGGTGGCACTAATCGGCACTGATAGGTGGAACTGATGGGCATTGACAGGCATCACTGATGGCACTGAAAGGCAGTTCTAATGGACACTGATATGTGGCATTGATGTACACTGATATGTGACATTCATGGGCACTGAAAGGCCGCACTCATATATGGCACTGATAGGCAGCACTGATTGCCACCAATAGTTGGCTCTGAAAGGCAGCTCTGATGGGCACTGATATGTGGCATTGATGTGCACTGATATGTGGCATTGATGTGCACTGATATGTGGCATTGATGTGCACTGGTATGTGGCATTGATGGGCACCGAAATTAAGCACTGATAGGGCTGCACTGATGATCAGGGCAGCTTTCCTCTCCTCACTTGCTGTCAGGAAAGGAGAACCAATAACCAGCATTTCCTATTTACATGTGATCAGCTGTGATTGGACACAGTTCATCACATGATAGAGCCTGTGTCATCGGGTCTTTACCGCGATCAGTGATCCGCTGTGTTCCAGGAACCCAGCACACCAGTGATGGGCACACATGCGCAGCTAGTGTGGAAGGATGTCATATGACGTCCTCCCAGAACAAGAGAGCTCCCATCTGTCCGTTATTTCCTTATATGGCGGGCGGGAGGCGGTTCAAAGTTCACTGCTGGGAGAACAAAGTGAGATATAACTACAATTGACCAGAGGGCCTTTGTTAAAAATTTTAAGGATGAATTGCTCCACGCGCCAGCAGCTCCAGTGGTCATCATTACCTTGTTTTACAGTGGAACTTTGGTCATAAAATTAAGTCCTGCTAGATCACTTCAGACTGGCCCCTTTTGCAGGTATATCTAAAGCCTTAAAAATAAGTGCCTATACTGTTTAATATCCAGTAATACACTGTCTCACCCTGCTCTGCACCTGCTCTGTTGCTTTCTTTTTTTCAGCACTGTGCCAAAAATGTAGAGGCTGATCTGCTGACAATCTAAAGATTTACTGCTGCTCACAGGCTCTGGGCTTCAGTAAAATGGCAGCCTCCAGCAAGAAGAAACCTGAACAATGCTGGAGGTCATTTACAGCACACAATTTCGGTAGCATAATTATTCGGCTCCATGCACACTAGCACTCCTAAAATGCTACAAAAACACTATTACCAGCGTTTTTTATCCAGCATTTTAAAAAAATGCTAGTATGCATGGAGCCTTAATGTGGAAAGTACATTCGATGCTAAAGAAACATTATTTTTTTACCAAGTTGTTATGGGTAAAGTTCCACTTTATGTTCAGAATAGGTAAATGTTTGATTGTCACTTTGCAGTGAACCTGGGTTTTTCCTGTGTACAGTCGCATGGGTTGGCACGAAGGGGGGGGGGGGGGTGCTTAGCCATCCATTCAGCTCCATCCAGATAGACAGCTTTTCCCTTCATTGCAGTGGGGGAGTGAGAAGGAGAGTTTCAAGGATAGGTTCACCTTTCATAACATGTTACACCCATATTCAGGGTGTAACATATAAAATGTTACGAAAGCACCGGCCTCTGCTCCCCGCCAATCCCCCCGCTTTAACAGCTAGCAGGGGATCTTCTACCCCCCAAACCACTCCGCCCGCCTAGCCACGTCACCCCTCTGTGAATGAGAAACTACAAGTCCCTATAGCCTTAGCAGCTGTCAGCTTGTAGATCCCAATGAAGTACCATGGCACTGTGGAGCACCATGGTAGTTCATTGAATCTGTCAGAATATCTGCTTTCATCAAGCAGATATACTGACAGATCTGCAGGAGACCTGCACAGCATCAGTGATCTGTGGTAGCGATCGGTGGTGTGCTCTGTCCCTGGGACACAGCGGATCAGCAATCACTGTAAAGTCGATGACGTCAGCTCTGTCATGTGATCAACTCTGTCATGTGTCCAATCACAACTGGTCGCATGTAAACAAGGAAATGCCAGTTACCAGCAGTCCTCTCCTCACGCTGACAGCTCTTGAGGAGAGGAGAGCCAGTAAGCAGCATTCCTCAGAGGGGACATCTACATTGATCATCAGGGCACTGATGATCAGTGTAGCCCCATCAGTGCCCATCAATGCCACATACCAGTGCCTGCCAGTGCACATCAATGCCACAAACCAGTGCCTGCCAGTGCACATCAATGCCACATATCAGTGCCCATCAGAGCTGCCTTCCAGTGCCAACTATCAGTGCCAGTCAGTGCCAACCATCAGTGCCAGTCAGTGCCGCCTAACAGTTCCAGTCAGTGCTGCCTATCAGTGCCCATTAGTGATGCCTGTCAATGCCCACAAGTGATGCCTGTCAATGCCCATCAGTACCATCTACCAGTGCCACCTCATCAGTGCAGCCTATCAGTGACCATCACTGCAGCCTCATTAACACACATCAGTGAAGGAGAAAGTACTTATTTACAAAATTTTATAACAGAAACAAAGAAACAAAATCTTTTTTTTTTTAATTTTCAGTCTTTTTTAGTTTGTTTAGCGAGAAATAAAACACCCAATGGTGATTAAATACCACCAAAAGAAAAAAAAATGTTTAAAAAAAAATGATAAAAAGTTTGTTTGGGTACAGTGTTGCATGACTGCGCAATTGTCATTAAAAGTGCGACAGCACCGAAAGCTGACAATTGGCCTTGGCAGGAAGGCGGTTAAAAGTGCCCAGTAGACAAGTGGTTAAACGTTAAAAGCTGTAGGTGCTTATAGGTGGGTGTATTAAATCTCTTGCAAGAGTGTACCAAAATAAATGAAGTGTAAAACACAGTTAAAGGATAAGTTCACCATTTGAACAAAAATAATAAATGCACATTTTTTTGTAGGTAATTAAAATGTGCATTTATTATTTTTGTCTGCAGGAGCATGGAAAGCATTGCACCAGCTATCAGTAGATCGCTGATGCCATGCAGGTCTCCTGCAGACCTGTCAGAATATCTGATTGTCGTATGGGATGTATGAGCAAGCAGATATACTGACTGGAAGCATCAATGAACTGTGAAGCGCCGGGGTAGTTCATTGAAAACTACAAGCAGACAGCCGCTAAGCCTACTGGGACTTGCAGTTCATTCATTCACATAAGCCCATGAATGAATGTCATGGCCGTGTGGGCGGAGCCCCTCATTTGACAGATAGTACGGGAAACTTCTCCCCATATTATCTGTCAGAGGAAGGGGGGGCGGGCATGGCGGCTACAGCTATGGGAACATGTTACATGTTCCAGCCTAAAAGGTGAACTTATCCTTTAAAGAACATTTCCTATCCTGTGCTGGAAAATTGGTGGTGTGGAACTCTAGGCAAACAGTTAAATACACAAGGCACATACAACATCCATATGTTTACTATTACCAGCCAAAAGATGAACGTATCCTTTAATACACAGGTGTCAAACTGGCGGCCCTCCAGCTGTTGCCAAACTACAAGTCCCATGAGGCATTGCACGATTGACAATTACAAGCATGACTCCCAAAGGCAGAGGCATGATGGGACTTGTAGTTTTGCAACAGCTGGAGGGCCTCCACTCTGTTTTAATAAATCAAAATGCATGCATTTTTTACATGCATGTGAATTTCTTCAATGCTGAAGCAGTACATTAATCCTTTCTTGTGGTTGGTATATATCCTTTGTGGCTGCTGTGTCATAGACTCAAGTGGTGGTGGACAGTTCTTATACTAATTGTGTTACAGTTTGTATACATGTGCACTCCCTACTGGAAAGCATACGCTGCAGGGTAAGGCTAGGTAAGTAAATTATAGATGCTGCAGTTTTCCCCGTTTAAAAATGACCTTATCTCTTCCTCATATACCCAACATCAGCTCAGCACAGGTTTCAATGACTCACTACCTTCATTATAATCTATGCTCAACAGATTTGTTTTATTACACTGGGAAAAAAAATAACTTTGCAGTGTTTATGTAATAACAATGCAGTCTCTTAGTAATTCTAAAGGTTCGATTTTTTTCTTTTTAATAACAAACATGTCATACTTACCTGCTCTGTGCAATGGTTTTGCACAGAGCAGCTCTGATTCTGCTCTTCTTGGGTCCTCCCACCTGCCGAGTGCCCTCATAGCAAGCCTTGTGCTGTGGGGGCACTCGTGTGTGCTTGCACCTGAGCCGACTGTGTCTAAGTGCCCCCTCCACTGTCTCTAAGCCAGCAAGGAGCGAGAGAGCTGCTGTTCTCATGCACATCGCCGCATCAAGATTGGGCTCAGGTATTAGAGGGGCTGGGGGAGCTGCATGCAAAAGGTTTTTTTTTTTTACCTTCATGCACGCTTTACAACCACTTTTATTGCATTTAAGATTGAATTTGGGCAGCATGTACTGTATGTGCTTCATTACCATTGGTTTCTATATGTAAGTATCAATTCCAATTGACAGAGCAGAATGAGCAGTATAGAGGGCCATTTACTAAAATCATTCAGGTCACCTTGGTCTTTTGATTCTGCTTGTGCAAACTCATCCATGCGTCTCTCGATCAGGTCCGCTAGCTTATTCATAATTGCAGATCTGTCTTGAGGGCTCAAAGACGACCAAATGGGAAACGCAGCTTTGGCAGCATGGACTGCAGCATTGACCTTGAAAGAGAAAACGTTAATATCTAAACATGAAATTTGTACTTTTCCAGTGCTGCTTTATTTAAATATTTCTAAAATAAGTCTGAGTATGGGAAAAACAGAAAAAATGATTTTCTGAAGTTTGCATATACAGCATTTCATGTTTATCCAATTAAACCAGTATCACAGGTTTATTACTGTTGATTCTGCCAATAGATCTGTTATTTTCCACTTCCTGTAATAGGGTGACAATGGTGTCCATTCTGCGGTGAAATAATGCAGCAGCATTGTCCCTTTGTGGACAGGGTAATCCTAGATGGACAGGTCATTTTTAATGGACATTAAAGTGTTATGTAAAAGACAATTTTTTTTTTCTTTTTTAGTTTTGATTGGAGTGCGGAAAGGTTGGAACCCCGGTCAGTTTTTTTGGGGTTTTTTTCGTGTCTGTGTCCCAACTAGGGTGAATCATCCTCTATGTGTCTTGGTGACCACGGTCTCTAGCCAAAAAGTGATAGGAATTCTGAAACTTTAGAGTTTGCACTGCAACTGGAGATGAGAGGAAATCATACCTGACTAAAATGGACTCTGTTCACTTTGGAGAAATTTCCTTTCAATTTCTGCTGCGTTTTCTAGGCGGTAATAACCCTTCTCTGCTCTGTCCAACATAGATATTTAATGGACAAAGGTTACAAAAGTGACAAACTGATAAAAAAAAAAAAAAAAAAAAGATGTACTGGCAGGATTAACATTGGACAAAAGGGGGACTCAGAAATCAAAACAAAAACTGCTAAGGCTAGTGATAAGACTGCATCATGTATGTGGTTTTTCTTATTTTGCATATATTTACACGACTGTATAACACATACACTATGTTGCCAAAAGTATTGGGACATCCCTCCAAATCACTGGATTCAGGTGTTCCAATCACCTCTGTGACCACATGTGTATAAAATCAAGCACCTAGGCATGCAGACTGCTTCTACAAACATTTGTGAAAGAATGGGTCGCTCTCAGGAGCTCAGTGACTTAATGCGTGGTTCCAGGATATGTTGCCACCTTTGCAATAAGTCCAATATTCCACAGATAACTGTTAGTGGTATTATAACAAAGTGGAAGCAACTGGGAACAACAGCGTGAACTCAGCCACGAAGTGGTACACCACGTAAAATGACAGAGCGGATTCAGAGCATGCTGAAGCGCACAGTGCGTAGAAGTAGCCAACTGTCTGCACACTCAATAGCTATAGATCTCCAAATTTCATGTGGCCTTCAGATTAGCACAACAATGCATTAAGAGCTTAATGGAATGTGTTTCCATTGCTGAGCAGCTGCATCCAAGCCTTACATAACCAAGTGCAATGCAAAATGTCTGATACAGTGGTGTAAAGCACATCGCCACTGGACTCTAGAGCAGCAGAGACAAATCATGTTTCTCTGTCTGGCAATCCGATGGACGTGTCTGGGTTTGGCAGTTGCCAGAGAGAATGGTACTTGCCTGACTGCATCGTGCAGGGATGTTGAATTCATATCACCCGACGCCCAAGACCTGTAGTTCCGAGCACTGGGAAGGTAGTTTTGTTTAACCCTTAGCCCTGCTGTGTGCAAGCAGCAGGGCTCACCTGCCAGGTGGAAGCATTCGGGTGGCAGGGTTGCCGCCGATTGCTTCCACACAGTGCCAGCCTCTCCCCACTGTGAACCCCCCCCCCCCACGCTTGAGACCTCCTGGGCTCCGCTTGCCCATCTGCGGGCCCGGGACAGGCTCACCACCATCGGCTCGAGGGGGAGGGAGGACATGTCCGCTCCCCTCCCCTTCGTGTCCTGACCCAGAAATGATGTTATGATGTCACTTCTGGGTCCCCGTTGACAGATTCCCGGCCACGAAGGTCGGGAAAGAATGTAATACAGTGCGATGTGCACTGCATTACATTCAGTGGAGCAGAGGGGAGACATGCAGGGTCTTTAATAACCTGGATGTCGCAATAAAGAAAACCTGTCACAAAAAATCATCACATAGGGGACTTTGATGAAAAAAAAAAAGTAAAAAAAAATTAAAGTTACACCAAAACACATAACATCCCCCCCCCCCAAAGAAAAAAAAAATCGAGACCCCCACATATACACACATACAAACGTAAAAGCACATGCTGGGACGCCTACACATGAAAATGTCAATTGCGATACACATGTTCCATATCACCACGCACGTTAGGATGAGACCAATAATTCTAGCATGGGACCTCCTCTAAAACATTATACTGATGACCTATAAAGGGCTTAAAAAGTATCGCTTATAGAAAATATAAGGTACTATAAAGTTTGTCGCCATTTCACGAGTGTCCACAAATGTAAGGTTTGACATGTTGGATATCTGTTTACTCGGTGAAACCTCATCTTTTTATATTTTACAAAACAAATTGTAATTTATTGCTTTTTTGTGCCCTAAAGTTAACTTACTTATATATTTTACTGACATTTTGCTGTAATATCATGCAACATAAAAAATTGGAACTACCACTATTTTATTCTCTAGGGTGTCTGCTTTCGGAAAATATATAATGTTTGGGGGTTTTATGTAATCTTTAGGCTTAAAAGAATTTTTTAAACATGCAAAAAACTCAAAAAAACGGCTCTTGCAGCGAAAGGGATAAAGGATAAGCCGGACATTCCCCTTCCCTGACAAGCAGCCAATCGGTGCTCATTACACTGCAAGGTCTCTCCCCTCCATGCTAACCCCTTTTGTTTGTAAGTCCCCGACATTCCTAAAATCACCTCCGATGTAAATACAGCTTTGGTTAACATGTATTTTTTTTTTTATCTGGACAAGTAGATTTTCATGAAGGACAAGTAGATTGGGACACCGATTTAGCCCACGGACAAGTAGTTTTTTCAAAAATTTCCACACTCTTGATTGTGCCAAGTGTAAAGATTGGTGGAGGGGGGATTATGGTGGGGGGTTGTTTTTCAGGGGCTGGGCTTGGCCAATTAGTTCCAGTGAAGGGAACTCTTAAGGCATCAGCATACCAAGACATTTTGGCCAATTTCATGCTCCCAACTTTGTGGGAACAGTTTCGGGATGACCCCTTCCTGTTCCAACATGACTGCACACCAGTGCACAAAGTAAGGTCCATAAAGAAATGGATGAGCGACTTTGGGATGGAGAAACTTGAATGGCCTGCACAGAGTCCTGACCTCAACCCGATAGAACACCTTTGGGATGAATTCGAGTGGAGACTACGAGCCAGGCCTTCTCGTCTGACATTACTGCCTGAACTTGCAAATGCGCTTCTGGAAGAATGGTCAAACATTCCCATAGACACACTCCTAAACATTGTGGACAGCCTTCCCAGAAGAGTTGAAGCTGTTATAGCTGCAAAGGGTGAGCCAACTAAATATTGAACCCTACAGACTAAGACTGGGATGCCATAAAAGTTCATGTGCGTGTAAAGGCAGGCGTCCCAATACTTTTGGCAATATAGTGTATATAATGCATCCAAGAAGTGGGTTTGAAATCTGGGCGCTGCATTTATGTATTCTTGTGCTGGGAGTGCACTCGACCACGTACTCCCAGCACTGAGACCAGATCTCAACTAACGATCAGGACCCAGGGGAATGAGATCCCAATCACATGATCACTCAGACTTGTCTGTTATCAATGAGGAAAAGTGCATTGTATCTCTTCCTCCTCTAGGATACAGTGCCTTGAAAAGATATTCATGCCCCTTTTCCATATTTTGTCATGTTACAACCAAAAAAGTAAATGTATTTTCTGGGAATTTTATGTGATAGACCAGTGGTGGGCAACCTTTTTTATCAACTGAGCCAAATCTCGCCAAAACCACGATTGAAATTTATTTTGAGAGCCACATTTTTAAAACTGAAAATACATCCCCCATATAGTAATTCATCCCCCATATAGTAATAATTCATCCCCCATAGTAATTCACCCCCCATAGTAATTCATCCCCCATATAGTAATTCATCCCCCCTATAGTAATTCATCCCCCATATAGTAATTCATCCCCCCTATAGTGTCAATTCACTTACCTTTGCTCCGCACGTTCCTCTCGCCGTGTTCCCGCGCCGTTTCGGTCTTCAGGGCGGACTGTGAGAGGAGTTCGTCACGCTGCCCCGCCTACATCCTGACAGCCAATGTTTGCCACACTCCGTAGTTTGCCCATTGCTTGGCTAGCTGCAGAGTCCTGACTTTTGGGGCGGCCGCCCGAGAGGAGGGAGGGGAGCGGGCGCCGCCCGGCACACAGAAGAGCCGCATAAAAGTTTGTAAAGAGCCGCATGTGGCTCGTGAGCCGCGGCTTGCCGACCACTGTGATAGACCAACACAAAGTGGCACATAATTGTGAAGTGGAAGGAAAATGGTTTTCAAAATTATTTACAAATAAATATCTGAAAAATGTGGCATGCATTTGTATTCAGCCCTCTTTACTCTGATACCCCTAACTAAAATCTAGTGGAACGAATTGCCTTCAGAAGTCACCTAATTAGTAAATAGAGTCCACCTGTGTGTAATTTAATCTCAGTATAAATACAGCTGTTCTGTGAAGCCCTCAGAGGTTTGTTAGAGAACATTAGTGAACAAACAGCATCATGAAGGCCAAGGAACACACCAGAGAGGTCAGGGATAAAGTTGTGGAGAAGTTTACAGTAGGGTTAGGGTATAAAAAAAAATCCCAAACTTTGAACATCTCACGGAGAACTGTTCAATCCATCATCTGAAAATGGAAAGAGTATGGCACAACTGCAAATCTACCAAGACATGGCCGTCCACCTAAACAGACAGGCCGGGCAAGGAGAGTATCCGTGAGATGGTTCTCGATTAATATTTTAGGCAACTTTTACTTTAATAATTAAAAAAAAAAAATCAGGCGATATCCATTAACATTTCCACCAAATGAAATCCTAATCTGTCCTGAGAAAAAAAAACACGGTATAATCCACCTGGTTACAGGAAGCAGTTATGATGTTATGTACAGTTATACTAACACATGTCAAAGTGGCAAAATTGGGCTTGGGTATTAAAGTTCACCTTTGGAACATGTTACATATTCCCTCCCATTTTAGGAGTGGAACATGTAACATGTTTCAGCATTTGCACCCTCTCCACCCAATGACAGCGGGTGGGGGATCCTCCTTTGAAAACAGCGTGGCCATGCAGAGCTCTGCCCACACGGCCACATCATTCATGCACAATCTAATGTGAATGTATAGACTACAAGGGTGCTGGTGAGTGGTCTCATAGTTCATTGATCTTCCTGCTCTCAAGTAACTGCCTGCCCATACAAGGTACAGGCAGACAGCTACCTTTAGTCTGCAGGAGCCTGAGATTGCATCCATGTTCTGCTGATTGCAGGTGCAACACTCTGCAGGTAACTTACAGAAAAAAAAAATAAATACAAATTTTTTGCAAGCAAAAATGTGCCCTTATTATTTTTTTTCAAAAGGTGAACTTAGCCTTTAAGATTTGTTTTCACCCTGGTCATGAAGGGGTTAAAGGGACATTAATATCAATATAGAGTTAATGTACTAAAACTGGATAGTCTGGTGCAGCTGTACATGGTAGCCAATGAGCTTCTAACTTCAGCTTGTTCAAGTAAGCTTTGACAAAAAAAATCTGGAAACTGAATGGTGTCTGTGCAGAGCTGCACCAGAGTTTGCACTCTCCGGTTTTAGTAAATTAACCTCAATGTATAGATTGGATTATTCAAAACAAGTTCTATATTACACATAAAAATATTCAGCAAACATTTGCCCCTTCTTTAAAAATAAGTTTGTACATTGCAAAAAACATACCATAGATTGCAAGGTTCTCAATGTGTACTTACTAAAGAACACTAAAGTGTGTTACAGACTTTTAACAAAAAAAAAAATTTTACTCAGCTAATAGGATACAGCATCGATCTGATGCTGCATCTGTCCACTGCTAGCTCTGCCGTGAGAACTGAGTGATCAAACACCACTGTTCGCTCAGTTCTCCCCTTCCACTCTGAGCAGAGAGTGGTGAATGTCAGTCAGCAACTCTCTGCTCCTCCAGTGCTCAGTGAAGCACTGGTCTGCAGAGGGGGCAGGAGTAGCTAGCTCAGGCTCTCAGATGATTTGTAGAGAAGCTGTGACAGGTGACAGTCCACGTTTCAGAGTGGATCCCAACCATATTGTCAGAATCTTTTTAGAGCCTGGACCGGCTGAATGACGTCAGCCAACAGCGGAATTTAGCCCGCTGTCGGCTCAAACGCCTGTGAACCTCAGAAGTATAGCCAGAAGAACTTTGGCTATACTTCTCCTTTACCTTAAGTGCTAATAAACCACATAAATTAGATTCAAACATAACATCATAATCTGGGATGAAAACAATAAATACAGATTTTATTAGAGGAAGACATTAGGGTTTTAATACTTACCATAAAATCAATTTCTTGATTTCATTGGGAAGGGCAGGAAGGGCATTGGAAAGCAAAGGAATTCACAGACTGATGAGTTATACTACCCCTCTACAGGAGGAACGGATGCTGCCAAATGCCACTCCCCAGTATGTTTCAGTTTTGTGGCAAAGCATGAACATGACAGAGGGGACCTGTGTTACTCAATGAACCCAAAATTAGTTTTTACAATCAGTACAAAAGTGCCACAGGATTTCATAAGTTGTTGGGATGTCTAAATCAGTCCAACTGAGGTGTGGGCAACAGAGCACCTACCTCCTACAGGCCCAATGAAAAACAGGATTGGGGTGGGGGCTTCCTGAAGGATCAATGCCCAAATCTGAGATCTAATTAAGACAAGCCCCTGAACTGAAAAAGGGGAACAGATAATTATCCAGGGAAGGACTTCCAGAAAAAACGATGTTCAAGGCCAGAAAGAGAAGAATCACTGCCAAGGAGAAATAACTTCATACAGGAGTAGCCCTACAATCTGAATCAAGCGTACAGCTGATCAATGAGAGCCCACCAAAACAGGGGAACATTCCCCCGTAGGGAAGAAAGGACTCACAACCTGATGTGATCAACAAGGAATGGGGTTAAAACCCTCTCAAACAAATGGATTCCCCAGAAGGAACCTAAACAAGAACAGGTCCTGAAAAAAAGGATCAGTGAGTCAATTAGGAAAGCCCTAGGTCTTAACACTCCCAATTCCTCAGGAGCTTAATTTCTAGAGGAGTAGCTGGTTAGACAACTGGTCTCACTAGATGGGGCTGATTAAGAAGCATACTGAATCAGCCTGACAATAAGTCCACCAGAGAGCTCAGGAATTTTGTCACACAAAGAAATGACCAAAGCGATAGGATGTGAGAAAGCACCTCCAGAGAGGGAGGCATGGGAAAGGATATACTGTATACTCCGGTACCAGAGTGGTAAGTTGGAAATGACCAGACAAGGTGAGGATAGCTGAAAATATGCTCCTCAGATTGTGAGAAATACCTCTAGAGCGACCCCCGAGGAACCCCACTGAAGAGCAATGCTGCCTTTACCTAATATCTAACCACATGTCTGGGCATGCTCCTGTACCCCCCAGGTCCCACAAAGGGCCCACATCCATGCAGCAAAGAACAGGACAATTACCTGTATAGCTAAGAGTCTGCACCTGCTTGGAAGTCGAAATGATAGAAAAACCTAAGGCCCAGCCTCAAGAGACTCTGAATCTGTCAAGGAATCCTTCTCAAAAAGATTAGTCTACTGTGCAGAGTGTATGGGAACCTCTCCCCAGTAATTAGAGGCTACCATGTAAGATGAACTGCAGCCCATGAATCGTCACTAAAAAGAGAGTGTACATGAAGCCAATGCTCACAGTATTATCCAACACAGAAAAACCAGACTACTTTTCATGTTGCAGAAAGGACTCCCATTTGTTCTTGGTAGTGAAGACACAGTAGTATTTGGATGGTGTCCAACAGAATCCTAACCAGCAGACCTGCAGGTTCCCAAAAAGTGGTTACCGAGCCTTTGTAGATATACAAGGAACTACCTGGTTCAATGAAGCAGAGTACAGGGGGTGGTAGCAATTGACTGTGACTCCATAGAGGATGCTCATCAGTCAAGGATTTGAGGAAATTAGAATCAGAGGCAAGCTGCAAGCTCAATTTGTTAGTATAAAGTGAGCTGGGGTACCAAGTACAGCAGGAACTAGACATGTTGTAGCAGCAAAGTGGATAGGCAACACACAAGCTCAGGGTAAGAGGAAAGACCTCAAGTAGTAAATAAATAAATAAAAAAAAAAACCTAGACAGCTAGCTGCAGGTAAGAGACAATGACTGGATGGTCATGTAGCTATATGAGACCAAAGTCACTGTAGGTGGAAAGCAGGAACATATTGAATTGCCACATAGTTCTTTGAAAACAGGTGGTATGCTGGTGGTAGGAGAGGTTTATACACTGGGCTGGCCTACAATTATTTTTTTTTTATGTCAGTGTCCAATCTTCCTGTAGGTGGCAGTATAACCCAAATGAGAAATCTAGGTGCTTGGGTCAAACAATTTTGAATTTTTTTTTTTTTTTTTTTGGGCCCAACCTGACTGTTAATAAATTACAACTATATTTACAAAGCAATTTATTGACAAGTAGAAAACTTGCTCATAAGTATATCTGTATTTATATATTTCTTGTAGTGGATATAAACAACAGTTGCTGATACTATTTCTTGAGGTATACAAATGCTGTAGAGTAGGGACACGAGATTTCAGCATTCATACTATAAAATATTTAATATTCCTAACAGGTATGCCAACCTAATAAATAATTCTTATTAATAAATTCGGTAGACACTACAGCCAAACTTTAATCTGACCATGTCAGAAAATACATCTGATATTTGATAAAAGGCACAGTCCAAAATCAGGCAATGGGCCATCATAGAGGGATATTTTAAAAATGTTATTTTTGTTTTGCTGTCCTGAAAAACAAACCTAGCACAAAAACTGCATAGTGAACTTTCATAATATACAAGTTGTCAAATAGTTCCTATAGAAATGGAATAGTCACTTAGACAAACACAAAAAGATCTCAGATCTTACCTCTTCATTGTCGCTATCAGGTACTCTACAGAAGATATTGCCTGTAGAAGGATCAAAAGAATCAATGTAGGATCTGCTGGGGACAAATTTCCCTCCAATGTAATTCTGCAGCTTTAAAATAGTGCTTTGTTTTTCCATGTTAGCAGGAAAGTGCAGCATTGTGTTAGCCAAGTTTTAAAAACAAGCAGGCTACACTGGAATTTGGACTTCACATCTATTAACCCCTCCCCATTGTGCAAATACACAACTTTGACCAAGTATTTGTCTCTGCACATGAAGAAAAAGAAAAAAAAAAAAAAAAAAAAAAAAAAAAAAAAAAAGACATTAAATGCCATAAGGGTCAAGCTAAAAAAACAGCTGACTGTGTCATTGTTACAGTTTAACTGAAAAATACCCAATGTTTTACACGACCAAAAGGAAACTGCAAAATATCAATCCATTGCTCAATAACTCTCTAAAAACTCTAAATCTAAAGAAATATACATATTTATAGTGTATCTATATATACACACACAGACATGCAGGTACACGCATAAAAAGTTAAAATAACGAAACAAAGTGCAGGCTTGCATCCCATGGAAGCCTAAGCTGAAAGAAAAAATCCCTTAAGGCCTCATGCACATGGCCTTATGCATTTATGCTCCAAATATGCAGCTTTTCTACTGCCAGAAAAAAACACCTCTAACGTCAAATATATATGCGTGTATGGTGTTGAACGTAAATGCATTCTACTGGCCAGAATATGAATTTGTTCTGGGCATTGGAATAAATTTACGCTCATATGTGCGCATTTATGAGCATACATTATGCTTGCAAGCTCCTCTCCTAATGCAGGTTTGTTGTTTTTTTTTATGCCTCTAAATTGGTCTTAAAGTACTGATCTAGACACCTGATGTGCACGTATGTCACATAGGCGAATGCAAAACTGCATTTATAGGTATAAAAAAAATATATTGTATGGCAGTAAAAGCTTGTGTGTATGAGGCCCAATTATTTTCTTGGAGATGTGGGTAAGGTAAGTGAAAATTTCACTTAATCATTATTATTATTATACAGTATTTATAAAGCGCCAATAGTTCTAATGGCATATATTCATTACATATATAAACTGTATTGGAACCACCATAGTGATTTCAATGCCCAGGATATTTCCATCTTTTATTGGGCCAGCTACTCAGGAACCAGAGGCAGACTAGTCCCACTGAAGAACTGCTAAGTTAAATCAGCTGATCTCTTGAAGTAAGCCACAGAGGTAATAGTAACTTGCAATCATAAAAATACACTTCACAACATTCTACTTAAAAAAAAAGAGAACGCTTTCAGCATAGGTGGACTCATCATCTCCACTGCTGCTGCAGCCCTTGGATGAGGTTGCCCACTGATATATGTCTGAAGTGGGAAATACTAAAAGGAATAGGGTGGACAAGTGGGGCAGTTTGCCTCATTATTGTTAGAATTTTTATTTATCCTTGATATCCAGGGGAGTAACAGAAAACTGTGACTAAAAGAAAAAATATATGAAATGTCAATGTTTGACTATATTTTTTGGACTGCTGTGTTTTTGTGGTAAAGACACTAGATGCAATTCTAAAACACTTTTTTTGTAAAAAAAAAAATAATTAAAAAAAAAAAAATATCTTTGTAGTACATAATTGTGGTGAATGATGGACCTTTAAATCATGAAGGCATTCCATAATTCATCATTTTGTTTCCATACAACAGGCTGTTTACAGATACTTGATAGCCAATTACCCTGGCGGCTCCATCTTTATCTTTGCTGTTAATGAGAAGTAACAAAGGTATGTATAAAAATAACAGATATCACAGTAAACCTGTTGTGACAAAGGTATAGGGGCTGACCATGTTTACTCCCTCCTAAAACTGCTAGATGCCTGGCTTGGTTATCCTAACATACTGTCTTCAATACTGTATAAATGGAGGACACGGAACAATTATGCAGATGAGGAAACTCAGTTAAAAGGCCTTACCTTTTGGCATTGCTCTAGTCTAGGCCCTTTTTGAAAGGATATGACAGCTATTAATCACCTGACCTTGGTCGACCCGAGTGGGAATCCAGCGGCGTGTCTCCTTCACCTAACAGAGAGGCTCATCCGGAGAAAAACAATCACTTACTATTCATCTGGTAAATGCGGCCAGGGCTTGCATCCCCTCGCTCTAACGGCAGACACAGCCTACGACTAGGGTCCTGAGGTATGCCAAAATCAATGACATCCATATGGAGGAACTGTCTCCCTAAACAATACTGAAGAAAACGTTAGGGAGCATTGGTGGTGATACTTTACCTTCACCAATGGTTATTTACAAGCACTGTACCAACCTGAGCCGGTTGCTAGAGGAGCCAACTGATAATTGCCCTCTGTCCATGACTTTCAGAGGGTGTCTGGTCCCTGGAGGGTTTCTCTTTGGCTTCCTTTCCATTCTCCCCTCAACCTTCCTTTTTTCCTGCCCCCCCCCCCCCCCCCCAAGCCCACTCCACTCTTGCCTTGAACTTGGCTACACTCTCGTTTAAGGAATATACAGTGCGTTGAAAAAGTATTCATACACCTTAATATTTTCCATATTTTGTCATGTTACAACCAAAAACGTAAATGTCATTTATTGGGATTTTATGTGATAGACCAACACAAAGTGACACATAATTGTGAAGTGAAAAGAAAATGATAAATGGTGTTCAAAATGTTTTACAAATAAATATCTGAAAAGTGAAACATGCATTTGTATTCAGCCCCCCTGAGTCAATACTTTGTGGAACCACCTTTCACTGAGTCAATACTTCGTAGAACCACCTTTTACAACTGCAAGTCTTTTTGGGTGTCTCAACCAGCTATGTACATCTAGAGAGTGACATTTTTGCGCATTCTTCTTTGCAAAATAGCTCAAGCTCTGTCAGATTGTATGGAGAGCATCTGTGAACAGCAATTTTCAAGTCTTGCCACAGATTCCCAATTGGATTTAGGTCTGGACTTTGATGGGGCCATTCTAATACATGAATATGCTTTCATCTGAACCATTCCATTGTAGCTCTGGCTGTACGTTTAGGGTCGTTGTCCTGCTGGAAGGTGAACTTCCGCCCCAGTCTCAATTGTTTTGCAGACTAACAGGTTCTTCTACGATTGCCCTGTATTCAGCTCCATCCATCTTCCCATCAGCTCTGACCAGCTTCCCTGTCCCCGCTGAGGAAAAGCATCCCCACAACATGATGCTGCCAACACCATGTGTCACGGAACAGATGGTGTGTTCAGGGTGATGTGCAGTGTTAGTTTTCCACCACACATAGCGTTTTGCCTTTAGGTCAAAAAGTTCAATTTTGGTCTCATCTGACCAGAGCACCTTCTTCCACGTTTCCTGTGTCCCCCACATGGCTTCTCGCAAACTGCAAACGGGACTTTTTATGGCTTTCTTTCAACAATGGCTTTCTTCTTACCACTCTTCCATAAAGGCCAGATTTGTGGAGTGCAGGACTAATAGTTGTCCTGTGCACAGATTTTCCCATCTGAGCTGTGGATCTCTGCAGCTCCTCCAGAGTTACCATGGGCCTCTTGGCAGCTTCTGATTACAGCTCTCCTTGCCCGGACTGTCAGTTTAGGTGGACAGTCATGTCTTGGTAGGTTTGCAGTTGTGCCATACTCTTTCCAATTTCAGATGATGGATTGAACAGTGCTCTATGAGATGTTTAATGCTTGTATATTGTTTTTATAACCTAACCCTGCTTTAAACTTCTCCACAGCTTTATCCCTGAACTGCCGGATGTGTTTCTTGGCCTTCATGATGCTGTTTGTTCACTAATGTTCTCTAACAAACCTTTGAGGGCTTCACAGAACAGCTGTACTTATACTGAGATTAAATTACACACAGGCGAACGATTTACTAATTAGGTGACTTCTGAAGGCAATTGGTTCCACTAGATTTTTAGCTAGGGGTATCAGAGTAAAGGGGACTGAATATACAAATGCACGCCACACTTTTCAGATACCTATTTGTAAAAAAAAAAATTTTGAAAACCATTTATAATTTTCCTTCCACTTCACAATTATCAACCACGTTGTTTGGTCTATCATATAAAATCCCAATACAATACATTTACATTTTCAATTTTAACATTTCTAGGGGCATGAATACTTTTTCAAGGCACTGTACATACTTTATGAGCCCTATGTGACAATGATGTGCTGCTGTTGTGCTTAGAACTGAGTTGTTTTATCATAGTTGATTGTAATTTCTCTGCTATTCTTTCATTGTGCTTTGTATGATTATTATGTGACAAGTTTACATTGCTTGTTTTACTAAGGCTATGTTAAACACTTGACACCAGGCAAGTCCGGCTAGCTGTACAGTGCAAATTAACCAGTAATGCTACTGCATTTGACTGCCTTGATTTGTTTTTCTTTTCTTTTTGATTGGTTTTGTTTTATTAGGGCCTATGCCTTTAGGTGTTTGTCTATGATGACCCATTATAACATTGTCAAAATAAATAGGATTCTAATTGTAATGTTTTTGGTTATGATCTGCTTTGTGTTTATCAAATCTTCTGTAACATGTATGGCCATAAATAAATACGGAATAAAAAAAAAAAAAGAAAAGCCTTACCTGCATAGTTATTACAGGTCAGAGATTTGATGCATTAAAGCGAAAAGCTCTGTAGGAGGGATTCCCCCATCAACATCGACTGTGCTGATGGGGAATCTAGCCATTTTCTTTGCAGGAAAGAAAATTGATTAATGTTAGGCCTGCCTTAAACCTAGTACACACAATCAGAAAATTGTACAAAAAAAACACTGCTTTCGAAGTAACCGTACGATAATCTGATCGTTAGTACACAGCTTTTACATAGTTACAGTACAAACTTCGTCTGGCTGAAAAGACACAAAATTCCATCCAGTGAAACCAAAGAAAAAAAAAAGTTACAGTCAGGCCCATAAATATTGGGACATCGACACAAGTCTAACATTTTTGGCTCTATACACCACCACAATGGATTTGAAATGAAACAAACAAGACGTGCTTTAACTGCAGACTGTCAGCTTTAATTTGAGGGTATTTACATCCAAATCAGGTGAACGGTGTAGGAATTACAACAGTTTGCATATGTGCCTCCCACTTGTTAAGGGATCAAAAGT